TTGTCTCTTTGACACATTCCCCATTTCCATTCTCAATTTTATAATTCTGGATTAAGCGATCTTTCTCCTGAAGATGCATCAATTTCTTACCAGTATACCGGATCCGGGTTGAAGAAGCGAAGGCAATCATTTTTATTTTATCACAGCTCGAATTTGTCCACAAGTACAAATGTATGTGGTTTGATTCGTACAAGAGTAAAATAAAACTCCACCAAACCCTTGCTCTAAATCTCACCAGATGCTATGGAATTTCATTTTTGGTGACATTCATAAAGCCCTGGACCAAATTGTAAACGCAATACATTGATACATGCTGCAAACTTATTTGAAAGGTCTTTAAATCTGACGAATGAACACACCAATGTTGAGAATTGCAGACAACCATCATGATTGCAATGTGGTGGAGAAGAATAATGTCGAACTCTCGCGAATGGAAAGATGACGCAGCAAAAATGAAAAGATTCAATTACCTTGCTAAAATTATAACAAATGATAACCGTAGATTTGAAAACAATCTCCAGAGCACGGGTACAACAAAGCCAGCAACTCAGCTTTCTTGTGAAATAAAGTCACCCCGATACAGGGCGCCGAATGGGACTTGAACTTTTTGTAATCAAAATCAATTTTTAGTACACAAAATTCAATTTTGTCATCACAAAATCATTCTTGTCTTACAAAACTATGTGAAACAGACTTGTTTTATGAGAACTTCAATTTTGTAATGACAAAATTCTTTTGTGTCGACAAAATTCATTTTTGTCAATTTTATGACAAAATTCAATTTTGTCAAATAGGTATGCAAATATAATTTTAGTTGCATACAAAATCGACTTTTGTTACCTGATATGGAAATTAAAACACAAAAGTCAATTTTGTAAGACAAAATGAATTTGTACGCAATTAACATGTTGATTAAATTAGCATCCTGTGATTTTGTAATTACAATTATTTTTTGTGTAGACAAAATTGAGTTTTGTTACACAGAAGTGAAAATTTAACACAAAATTGACTTTTGTGACAAAAATGACTTTTGTGACACAAAATTGACTTGTTTCACCTCTGTTGAACAAAACTCAATTTTGTCTACACAAAACTACACGGCAAACTGTTAAAAAGACGAAATCAACAGCGGTAATTGATGGTTTAGAATCTTCATGCACTCATAATTATTCTCTACTACAAGGCTCAAATTTGACAACCTACGTGCACGTGCTTCTACTATGATATATGGATTTACCAAAAAAAAAAAAATTAAATGTTATACACGGGCGTATTTAATTTACAAACAAACGGTAATAATAACACAGTATTGATAATATTTATATTTACCCTTTGTATAATCGGATTATTGTTTTATATTTTGTGTATTGCTTTAGAATTGAATAAGGATTTTAACAAATACACGTATAATGTTTTCAGATGACACAATATAAAACAGATCCGTTATTACCACTTTCTATACAACGTATATATGGCAATAAAATTCATTTTCTTCACGCGTTGAAATGCCAGATTTTGATTGGCTAATACGAGGGAGACAATTTACTCATCCCATGGCTGAGCGGGAGACAATTTTTTTGAATGTCACCCTCTCGTCCAGACCAATCAAAAATCGATAATTTAAAGGACAATGAATTGAATTTACATCGAGTAATTAAAGACAATGCTAAAGTTCTACGTTTTGGCTCAGATTTTATTATTTGACTGTCAAAATGAAAATAATAAAATATCTTGCTTCACTTCTGTTGATTTTTCTAATACCCTTAACATTGTTGTGTGCTTGACGTCATAGAAAATACTTTTAAATAAAATTCATCTGTAAAAGACAATAATGATAGGACATTCAGTATAGTAAATTAAATAACACATAACCTAGAGAGTGATAGAGCAGGTTGGTACCCCTCGAAAAAGCATTGTAAACCTTGGCTTCGCCGCGGTGACAATGTTTTCTCAGCTATGTGCTATTTATATACTATTACAGTAGCAACACATATGGACATTATTTTACGTTGTATGTATGTTTTGGTCTTGAATGATAGCTTGGTATTGGTATTGACAAATATAAAATATTCAATAAAAATTGTATTACAATGCATAGTTCTGGTCATACCTCTTTACGTGTTTTAAAAAATGTCTCATTTTTAGATTTATACCAAACGGGCATTTTTGTTCAACCTATAGGCACTCTATCTGAGAAACAGTTTATATATGTCCTCAATTTTAGAATTCATTCATACATTTTTGTATTATTCAAAATGAACAGTAAATTATGTGTTCTACAAAGATCAACAGTCCTACACCTATCATCTGATGCCTTAATTACCAAATTTGTGAAATATATGCAAAATACAGTTAAAGATTTACACTAATGCGTAGGAACTATCTTGTTTTGAATATGTGCTACTTTCCAGTATATATTCTTTTTTTATCGGGCCCGATTAGGTGGTGTTACATTTTGCATAGTCTATCCAAAAAGTAAAATCACAAAAATACTGAACTCCGAGGAAAATTCAAAACGGAAAGTCCCTAATCAAATGGCAAAGTCAAATGATAAAACACAACAAACGAATGGACAACAACCGTCATATTCCTGACTTGGTACAGGCATTTTCAAATGTAGAAAATGGTGGATTGAACCTGGTTTTATAGCGCTAAACCTCTCACTTGTATGACAGTCGCATCAAATTCCATTATATTTACAACGATGCGTGAACAAAACAGACATAATAGGTAAAATTGTCAAAATAGGGGTACAGCAGTCATCACCGTGTCACAATTTCAATTAGAACAAAAACAAACAAATATTTAACAAAAAAGCATCTATCAAATTTAACAACCACATTCATTGCTTACTTATTATATGTATTTTAAATCAACCCATAAAGGATTGAAATATTTGAAGTCCTGTGACTGAATGGCAAGGTTCACATCAATTCTAGTGAAGGGTCGCGTGTTTGACGTCAGAATGTAAACGTCACACAGGAAGAGATATAAAATAATTTTGTCGTTCAAAGTATTTTCAAAATTATAACAGAACAATAACATAATGGCATTATAATAGAACAATAACATAATGGTGGGATGTTTAAAAGTACAGAGCAACGGCATATGTACCAAAGAAACACGCAAAAATGAAAGATAATACAAACAACACATTGACGGGATGTATAAGTACCAAGCCACGTCAAATGGATATCACCGAAAACAGACCAGACAGTAAAAGTAATATTAATAATAGAACAAAGACAAATAAAAGAACAATATCAATATAACACGTTATTAAGATGATAAACACCGTCAGTACGCAGAATCTATACACCAAGACCATCATGTATTATTTGTGAAGTTGATACGGAATATTTATCAACAATGTCTTGGTTCCTTCCGATGAACTTTTTTAGAAAAAGGACGAGACGTTCTTTGACACACCCCTGGTTCATCAACTTTCTGCTCAGGCACTGGTGACGTTTTACAAAGTCTGAGTAGGAGCTGCAAGCTCTTGAATATCGAATAAGTTGGGAAATGTATATCCCATATGCAGGTGAAGCTGGTATATTGCCACTAAGGTGGGGGAAATTGATAATTTCAAAATCAAAATCGTCTCGTTTGTCATAGATTCTGGTACTGAGATGACTGTGTATGTCAAATTCGAGGTATAAGTCTAAAAATGAGGCGGAGGAAGCCGTGTCTGTTGTTTCTGTTGTTTCTAGTTCTGGGGGATATATAAATGGAACCCAATCAGAAAAGTTCGGATTGTTAATGGAAAGAACATCATCAATATATCTGAAAGTGAAATTAAATAATTTGGCTTCTTTGATCTTCTTGTTTTTGACACGTGTCTGAAGGAACTCCGATTCATATGAAATTAAGAAGAGGTCGGCAAGGAGAGGCGCACAGTTCGTTCCCATAGGAATGCCGACAATTTGTTGAAAAAGTCTACCTCAAAATTCAACAAATATGTTGTCGATAAGAAACTCCAGCATACTGATCACTTGTTCCTCTGTGTAGCATGTTTTACCCTTTTGATCACTAGTAACAAAATATGCCTTATGATACCCCAAAATAATAAATTTTTAGCGTATGCTACCATTTTTATGTTGAAAGGCATTGTGGATTATTTCTTTCAGGCGATTTTTCAATTTCACATGGGGAATGGTGGTATACAGGGTTGAAAAATCAAAAGTTTTGATAGAACTAATTTCAGAAAAAGACCCAGATTTAAAATTATCCAGAAGTTCTTTAGAATTTTTAAGAATCCACATATGGTTAATACCACTACGCGAGTAAACAGTTTCACAGTATTTCTGAAGACCCTCTTTCACTGCGGACAGAATTTTAGTCCATCTAATGGACAATTCTTTAGTGGAACATGCAGATGAGCCGGCAATGTACCGTTGTTTGTACGGAATTTTGTGAAGCTTAGGTATCAAATACAAACAAGGTAAGTCCTCCGATTTGTTGTTCAATGTAATGTTCATTGAAGCCATGAAGGACTTATGATTTGCCAAAATCACATCCTTGTCAAATGATATGTCTTTGTATGTGGGATTACCGGAGAGCTCATTTATTCCTAATTCTTTACAAGACATTCGTAGTAATACGATTTACATACAAAGACAATATTATTTGAAGCTTTGTCCGCAGGAGCAACAACATACTTATCATGAAGAGATGATAGACATTTCACGGCCTCTTTGTCTCTGAAAACGGACTTTGGTCGATCATTCACATAGTTTTTCAACTTAATTATGAATGCAAATGATTTTTGCAAAGAACTCCGCTGAAGCCGGTTCTAAGGGCCGTCTTAAACTTGCAGTGAGGTGAGATTTCTTTTTTAAACTCCGTGTTGAAAGCCTCACTGTGACTTTGAGATGGAGAAAAACAATAAAAACGCTGTGCCTTTGCTTTTTGTGTGTTTATTTGCTATGCATGTACTGATTTTGTGTCAAGGATGGATACCCCATATCCTTTGTTTTTCTATTATATGAATAATACCATAATAAAGAAAACCATGTCTTTATTTTTCCTACATGTTGAACATTTAAAATAATTTGATAAATAATTAGACTTCTATTAACGATTTAGTCATTTTCCAGGAATGTGTATCCACGTGGTAGGTGTCGCACTAATTTTTTCTGGAACGTGTAACCATTTGGTAGATGTTGCACTACTTTTTTCCGGAACATGTAACCAGGTGGTTGGTGTAGCATTACTTTGATATTTCCCTATAAAATATTTAAAATAGTTAAATTTCGGATTCGCACACGAAAATATTTGTAAATTGCATTCAAAATACATTTAAGAAAAATAAGAATAAAGCAAAAATCATTTACAGTCGGTTAAAATATCATTAAACATGCAAAAATGATATACATGTAAGATTTGATCAGATAATTTGAAAAACGAAAGAACGCATTACATGACTTGAATTTGAAGAACACATACCACACAAACCGCACGTCTTCTGACAAAGTAGCTTTAAATTATGGTCAGAACATAATAATGACGAGCAGGTCGCAAATGCATTGTCTTCACAACCTGTTTGAAAATAGCATAGAGAGTATAGTTTGACAAATATATAATGTAGCATAACATTTTGATAGCACGGTAAAATTTGGGAATTCTTGTGGAGAGTTGTCTAATAGGCAACCATACCGCTTCTTCTTTTTAAATATTATATAACGAAGTTGTCAAATAAGACATATATTGTATTTTATATGTACAATTTCTCCGAGGAAGTTAAAACCGTAGTGATGAAACACAAAGAAAATCCACAGATAATCTATTTTGATATCTAATTTAAATCGGAAAACAATATTGATATAAACAAAACTTTTGTTTATTTGACTGCAAACTGTTTCGCTCCCTTACATCAACAAGCATATAGTGTAAATAAGTGGTTGATTGGGTTGGGAATGAATTTCAACTTAAACATTTTTAACACATCTTACTACATAGCCCACAACTGAATGGACATAATCGTTTCAGTGAAAGATCTGCGCAAACATGTTGATCAGAACATGCCATATACGGACTATCTCTACAAAAAGAACTGGCTGTTGTTAAAGTTGAAGGTCCTCCTAACGTTGTTAAAGTTGAAGTTTCTCCTAACGTTGTTAAAGTTGAAGGTCCTCCTAACGTTGTTAAAGTTGAAGGTCCTCCTGACGTTGTTAAATTTGAAGGTCCTCCTGACGTTGTTAAAGTTGAAGTTTCTCCTAACGTTGTTAAAGTTGAAGTTTCTCCTAACGTTGTTACAGTTGAAGTTTCTCCTAACGTTGTTAAAGTTGAAGGTCCTCCTAACGTTGTTAAAGTTGAAGTTTCACCTGACGTTGTTAAAGTTGAAGTTTCTCCTAACGTTGTTAGAGTTGAAGTTTCTCCTAACGTTGTTAGAGTTGTAGTTTCTCCTAACGTTGTTAGAGTTGAAGTTTCTCCTAATGTTGTTGTGCTTATTACTGGTGGTGCTATAATGAAGTAGTATGCATGATTTTACTGTTCTTGAAAAGATAAACATTCCTAATTAAACAAACACTAGTATAAGTTCTCTTGAAAATCTTTTTTTTAAGAATAACTTGTAAAGCTCAACACATTGTATTTATAAAGATTATATCATTTGATTGTGGAAGCAGTCACAGCATTGCATTTGTATTGTCCATATAACAAAATAATTACCTTTATCACAATTATGTCCAGAATATCCGCCAGCACATGTACAATTGTAACCAGTAGGACTAGTATGACATGTTCCAATCATACAAGGGTTTTTACTGCAGTCTAAAAATAAATAATTCAAATTAAATTTCATTTTACCTTTATTTTCACTGATCTTAATTGAACATGTTTTGTCGGCCTAATTTACAAAGCATTACGGAATTGAAGATTTCAATTATCACACATTACTTATAACCTCTACAAAATTGTTTGAAAGGTACAAAATTTTGCTTGTAACTTTGGCTGTTACGTGTATCAGTGAAACACTTATAACAAACTGTTTGTCAAGTTATTATGCTTCCGGTGATGTTGTTTATAGAGCCCGAAAATTTATATACGATCTATGTAAACTTATCAATGTTTTAAGGTAGATCATAGGTATATATTTCTTGAGATAGAATTTTCTTATACTTTGCCAAAATGAAGATTTTACTATGCTTTTTTCAAAATTATAATAAAAAGCACGGGTCACCGTGCTATTTTCCAAGCTATGAGTCGTTGAAAATTGCTTAAATTTGGTTAGATTGTTCATGAAAAAACACATTCGTGTGCTTAAAAAAAAATCAATGAGTTAGAATTTTGAAATAAATTGTGAGAAGATAGGTTTTATCATATGTTTTAAGAAAATAAAAAGAAAAAATGGTGTCAACTTACTTGTTTACTTGCTACAAGTAAAAATAAAAAAATTCCCTATCAGTCCAGTATATATTTTTTACTAAAAGTGTTATCTCCTCTAAAATGGCTTATTTGAAAAAAAATGATTCTAAAAACACAAAATTTGATATATTTTTTTAAATATTTTGAGTTATACAATAAATCACCAAGTTTTCTTTAAATTATATAGATAAACAGTCTAAGCAATAAATTGCAAATTTGTCTCCAAATTTGCAGATTTGGGCAAATAACTAGACCGATTTTGTACTGGGATTGTGCAATCCAAGATGGCGGTATACCATGAAAATACCTTAAATCAATTTATTCTGAGAGGTAAACAACATTGTTATGTACTAGGAATTTAATATTGTTTTATCTGTACACACCGTGACTTTATCAATAAATTTTAAAAATATCAAATAGTATTGCTATACTATGGACATATACGGTCCTACATACTATCCATATTCTGGTATTACTCAATATCATATTTTCTCTGAATGTTTATGACTTCTTGACACTTCATCAGTTGGATGTGTACTGATTAATATTTCAGTCTTAGAAGCATGAATTTTAGTAGTTTTTTTTAACGTTGATCAAGCTATCAGCAACTGATAGTACTCTCGTGTATATACTTTGTTTTTAAGATTTGTTGGTGTGTTTTTCTTCTCTCGATCTGATTAGTCTAGCCTTTTTGCAACCAATTTTGATATATATATATCATATTTGTTTTTAATTTATTGTTTAGTACATGTATCAGATCGTTAGTATTCTCGTTAGTATTCTCGTTTGAATTTATAACAATTTGTTATGTCATGGCTTTTAATAGCCTGTGGTATATATCGGTGTATTCTACATAGAACTATCAATCTAATCTGTTATATACTTACGATCAATTTCTGTAAAAAAGTGAGAAAATCGTTTATGTGCAAGTTCAATAAATAATTCAATTTTAAGGCCAATCACAATGAGAATTTGTGAATAAATGTTCATTTTTTTATTCACCTTTGTTATTATCTCAGTCCTCCTTTTCAACATATTCCGGTACTTTTTATTTATTGTTTCTGTTCAGGAAGAAACGTGTCATGGCCTTTTGTATAAATAATTGAGTACATGTAATTGTTAAATTAAAACTGTTGCTGCTATGCACATAAAACATAAACAAAACACGTAATAAATTACATACATCCGAAGCACATTTCTGAATTTACCTTTATCAGGAACGCTTCAGCCGAGTATTATAAACCAAAGAGTATATGAACCAAAACAGTTGAAGAGCTATATGACTAAAAAGTATTAAAAGAACCTTGCAGAGAACACGCATGGTTTAGTCCTCTGCTAGGTATGTACATACCGTATAACAAGCTATAAAAGGGACTGGAATGACTAAACGTGAAAAAGTCAAAGGTGATACAAACAGTGTGGTGTGTAGTACAACAATGAAGGGAGACAGTTATGACCGACAACCACTGAAAAGTCAAAGGAGATACAAACAGTGTGATATGTAGTACAACAATGAAGGAAGACAATTATGACCGACAACCACTGAAAAGTCAAAGGAGATACACACAGTGTGATATGTAGTACAACAATGAAGGAAGACAGTTATGACCGACAACCACTGGATCTAAACTAGATTAGATCATAATTATAGATAATACAGGTATATATATATATCACTTAAATGATGAATTAAAACAAGAAAAAAAAAAGAAATCAAAGCGATGAGGTAATTTTGGATGGTAATAACTGCGAAGTTAACTTATTATAAGTCTTTATTTCATTATCAACAAATAAACACAACAACCACAACTTGACATGAATACAGTTACTGACGTGTTATCCAGCGAAAACAAAGTCGAAGATGAAGGTCAATCCAGAAAAGCGCGTAGCACGCATGACATTTATAGGGAGCTGATTTCATTTTTTATATGTATAGCAGCAACAATTTTACTATGATACTGACATGATTTATATCAAACCTTCTAAAATTGTGCGTTTTTAAATTTTGAAATAATATAGAAAATAAGGTTGCAACTCCCTCGTGCAAGATGGTCGCGGATGGATTTGGCTATTTTTCTAGGTATTTGTTAGTTATAAAGCTCTCCAACTATTTTGATTCTTATTTATCTTAGGCTTTCAAATATTCGTTCCTATTAAATGAAAGTAAATCATGAAAGGCGCTTCGGACTCTTGGAATTTATAACGTGCTGGTCTCATTTTGTACTGCAAAAGGTTGATACCTCAACATTTTTAAATGTTGAATACTAAAAACATTTGTTTTTTCTCGTGCATATACATGCACTTTACTTTTTAATTCTATTTAAATCCCCACTGGAAGGCCTCTGACAGACTGAGTGAGCGTAAAACATTGTTATCGATAGCCGATAACAAACAAGTTAAATGTAAATTATTCAGTATTATTACCAACATAGGTATTGCGTTTGTCCACGCTGTTACGGGAATACCTCTAAATGTTTTGTAAGAGTTGAGAAATAAATAAAATATTGTCTTGTCATGTCTGGTCTTGTCTTGTCTACATATAGTTTACGCATTTAAAAATGATTAAACACTAGTACAATGGTTTGAAATACTTACCTCCCTTGCTGGATATAACTTACCCTTATTGCATGTTAAACCGTGGTAACCTCTTTTACAGTTACAGATGAAGTGAGTTGATCTATTGTGACAGGTACCATGCATACATGGATCGGGATTACAATCTGAAAATTAAATAAAAATTGTGCATTTTTTTTACACTGAATCATTGTTGCCTACATTATTCACTTTCAAATTGTAATTTGTAAAACCTTTATGAAATAGAAGAAAGAATGAACGTTTATTTTTTGTAGAACCTTCAGTTATAAATTATGCATTTAAAAAAAATATAAAATCAAAGCTTTAAGAACATAACAGGACATTACAAACCGAATTAAGCAGCGAAGCTGACAAACAATAATTATACATCAGCATCGTTAACACCAGCTCCTAAAATGGAAGTTGAAGATACCAATGGGACAAGAAGTAATCAAAGTGGTCCGAGTACACAGTTATTTCGTAGTGCATTTCTTTTAGACAATAAATGAAAATTAAAAAAATCCCACCTGCGCTTTCTCAATAATATTTTTACAGTGTGTTGTACTACTTTTGGGACAAATTATATCAAAATTATAGAAAACTTCATCGGCTCTAAATCAAAATATGGACAATTTTATGCCAAGGGGGTCTTCAAATCTTTTGACAGCTTCCGAAGTGCTAATTTTTAACATTTTTCAGCTGGACCAAATCACTACTTTACTTTAAAATTCATGACCCAAATTTTTTTACAGTGTCATTTCACCCCCCTACTTACTATTTGAGTCATAAAACATAGAGAAATAAATTTGGAAGGGGTTTAAAAAAAATCGACAAGTAACACACTGTCCACACTAGGGACTATATTCGTGGACAACAAAAATCAAAGGACGATAACTGTGTACCCGGACCTAATAGGGTAGAAAAAGTTGACCAATCTTAATGAAACTTGGTATGACCAAAGCTTATTAAATTATAAGACTGCTTACAAAGTTTCATGGCAATAGGATATATATTATAGACAATATGACTAATTTTATATTCAACTTTGAGTGTTAAATTTAGACGTTAAAATTGAAAATTTTCAACTATCAACATTTGGGGCTTAAAAAATTAAAATATTGCAAAACAATACTTTTGAAATGCCTTTATATATAATATATTATGTATTAAAAGCAATAGAGTACTCATTTGATTTATCAGACTTATCATAATTATTAAAAAGTCAAATTTATATGAGCCTGTGGCTAAAAATGGAGGTTTTCCAATGAAGGGGGGCCTTACATGAAGATGTAATATTTTCCAGCAATTTTAAATTTGTAAAGCTTTTTGGTTATAAATAATCCTTACATATGTATTTAATGTACTTTAAATGGAAAGAAAACTTACAAATAACATATCACATTAGTTTAAAAGGGTCTTAGGCCAAGTAAGACTGAAAATAATTTAGGGTCAATTTAGGCCGTATCACATATTTACATTTAAAAATGCATATTGAAGCTATATGAAATAAAATTTTGTGTCTTTTCTATCATTTCTATACTCAGGTGACATGATACAATAAATCTGAGCACAAAAAGACTCTTGCATTCAACTTTTTTTGCAGACAGTATGGTCTGATACAAAGATTTTTCACTTTTTAGTGAAAAACATGCATGCAATTTTAGTCTCAACAGGCTTATATTTGAACCACTTGCTATCCTACAGAAGAAAAGAAAGATATTATGTGACATAAAACAGGTACAAAAGACATTGTTAAGTGCTTTTTATACAAATTTAGTGAGGTCTTTATAATGGACTTCAACTTTTATGTTCCAAGCTCCTCACATTTAACTTGATCCAAACAGGGCATTAGACGAGGATCATATATACAACACATTTTGCACATATTGTCTGAGATAATCTTCTTTTCTGTAGATTCAGAGTTCACAAATGAGTAATACAACTGGATTGAAGCATAGAAACACAAATATTGACACAAAAAATCTGTCAGATAGAAAGTCAGAATGCCACTTATGCATCAAAATTGAAAAAGCTATGAAATGCTTATTTTGACCATAAAATGCCAAAATTGGTAATTTTTGCAGAAATTCTATCAAATAAAAGTTTAAATCCTTTAGTTTTATGCTATTTGATAAATTGACACCATCAAATCATTCAGGGAAGTTGCCAAAGTACAGATTCTATATTTCCTGATTTCACCTCTTAGGTCCGAGTACACAGTTATTTCGTAGTGCATTTCTTTTAGACAATAAATGAAAATTAAAAAAATCCCACCTGCGCTTTCTCAATAATATTTTTACAGTGTGTTGTACTACTTTTGGGACAAATTATATCAAAATTATAGAAAACTTCATCGGCTCTAACTCAAAATATGGACAATTTCATGCCAAGGGGGTCTTCAAATCTTTTGACAGCTTCCGAAGTGCTAATTTTTAACATTTTTCAGCTGGACCAAATCACTACTTTACTTTAAAATTCATGACCCAAATTTTTTTACAGTGTCATTTCACCCCCCTACTTACTATTTGAGTCATAAAACATGGAGAAATAAATTCGGAAGGGGTATAAAAAAAATCGACAAGTAACACACTGTCCACACTAGGGACTATATTCGTGGACAACAAAAATCAAAGGACGATAACTGTGTACCCGGACCAAGTCAGGAAAAACTGACCACACCATGACTAAAACCGAAGTACAGACCAATACGTCCACAAAAACATTACTGTTGAGTACCAATATTTGTGGACTTTGTGGAAACAGAGGAAGAACAAAAATAATTGTTAATCGATTATATATCGAACTAGAAATTTTCAATTGGCTGGCATACTGACTTTTGACAAACCACGAAACCAATTATCTAATAAAAATGTTAGTTTTCCTCAATCTACAAAAACAGGTACCCGTGAAAATAAATGAAAACAGAAAAATAGAAATCTAAAGACTGAGAAACAAGAACGCCACCAAAAACTTGTGGTTATCGCATATGTCCTAGAAGGTTAACCAGATTCTGTTCCACTGGTGTCATCCGTCGTGTTGCTCATATAAGGTATACATTCGGTGACTTATGATCGAAGGAAAAGATGACAAGATAATTTTAACGTCAATCAAAATTTATACGTGGATATATGTAACACAGAATCTCCACGTGCTCTTAGTTCGTGATGGCATGCGTAAAACTTTCTACGGTATCAATTCAACAAAACCTTTTGGAAACCTTGCTTTATTAGCCCCCTGGTAAGCACCAACCTTCTATTAAAGGCCTTGATATAGAAAACACAAGATCTAAAATATAACATAATCTTGAACGAATATAATTATTCCCAGGTGCTGCATAACTAATGCTTTATGAGTCGGTACTCGATATCTCGGTACTCGATGGTATGCTATCTAATATAGATATGAATGTGTTCATTGATTCTACAGGTCTAATACTTAAAACTATTTCCATCACCTGTTTTACGCGTAAGCAAGACAGTATTACAAAAATACACGACATAGAACGTTGAATCAAGTCTTTACAAGTTTTGAATTGATTATCTTCAACACTAAGCTATTTACAGGCAAAAACTAAATGCAACGAAAAACAAACCACAGACGATTTTTTTTTCTGAACGGGCAGGGGAACACGATTAAGAGTATCAATATTTCGCTAGTTTGAATAATAAACTTTCCACCTTTTTATATCGATCAGTAAACTCACAAACAGAGATACTTAGCAGAAAGGTTAATAAAAATGGATTTTATGAAAAAAAAATTACTTGATGTTATATTCAACAAAATCAAATACAAATGTATTTGGTAATTCCTTCCCAAACAAAAATGATAACTATTTAAAGCAAGCGTGAATAAGTTAAACGTTTATAAAGGTGAAAGCATGATGTGTTTACTCCAAATCTTTTGATTCTTGTTTTAAAATATTCAATTTCTTTTGAACAAAATAAAAGCAGCAACAGACTTTCAGCCTTAGAAATAAGGTATAAAACACTATTTGTGTAAACTGTGGTTTTTATTTTTGGATTTGCTTTGTTGCATAATCTGGTTGAAGCAATATACGATGGCTTAATTGCATACTTACATTTATATGTAGGAACAAGAAAACGTTGGGTACTTCTTAAAAAGCGTTTTCAGCAAACTTCTTTACTAACGTAACCAAAAGTCCACCACACAATATTAATGAAGACACTTCTAGTGATCATACATTCAGAAAACATTCAAACATGGATATTAAAGTTACGGTTTAGTCTGCGCGGCCGAAATACGATTGCATAAAAAAATCAAAATCTAGATTGGTGGCCTGTCGTGTATTAAATAAGGGAGTTGTTAACTTAGTTTTAAAATAATTTTTAACTTTATTATTAACGGAGAATTAAAAAGCAATGTATGTTATAAATCATGTGAGTATCTACGTCCTGACTACTGAACTGATGATAACCTTAATTCCACCATCAACGGTACAGACCCAGTGCTAGATAGGAAAAAAAAACTTGATAAAAGTTATTCTATCGAAGATTTTACTAGGTTACCTGCATCATGAATGCTCAATATCCGAACGTTTGAAAGCCTCAGATGCACCAGATCAGAAACGACTGACTAAAGGAACCTAACATACTAGCCAATCCATCTAAGTCAATTAACGTTACCTGAGGCAGTTTGTACCTTTGTTTCACAATAATTTCTAACTTTATCAACGTAGAATATGCACAAAGCTATACAATAAATTCCTTCCCAATTACCTTTTTAGCGTAATCGAATATAGGGATATATATTAAACTGGTTATAAGTCCAGGGGAATGATAAGTACGGTTGGCTTATAATAATTGGAGCATGCATTCTAATAATGACACGAACTTGATGCCCATTTTTCTATCTAACTGCTTTATTTAATTGACAAAAATCTGGTATAAATGAACATATTTTTCACTTCGCTCTCAGACATTAAAATAAATCAGAGATACACAGGTCGAAGATTTAATTCTTACTTACAGTCTACTGAAATAAAAACAAAATAGAATACAATTTAAATTTAAACAATTGTTATAAACACAAGCCATAATGGATACTATATTAAAATCATTTATTTCATATAGGTTAAGAACTAGCTTCTCTTATTGGATAAAAAGGGGCCACATGACATTCTTTTTTCTTCAGTAATAAATTCCATCGGTCATTAACAAAACAAAATGGACCAAAAAACCGGTCGTTAACGGACTTTTACATGTTAATGACCGGTGGGGCGTGGTTTTCTCTGTTAATTACCGGTGGGGCGTGGTTTCTCTGTTTAGAGAGATGTCCCTTTAATAAAACATTTTCCTATTTTCAATTTTATATTTAAGTTGTTGAATTGTTTACCATATGTTTTCGTAAATTATAAAATTATAGAAAACTTTATTTAGTATTCATATACTAAAAATTGCACTTAAATGCATGGCCGTGACTTATAGCTACATGTATTACTACGACTGGTCTTCACTCTTTGCTATAGAAATCGTACAATACCTGGAGTTTGCTTTGAACATTTAGAACTTATGAGAGTTTGTAAAAAACATGGTTTCTCAATGAAATAAACACAATAGTTATTGAAGAAATGGTCATTATCGTGATACATGGACTGCCCGTAGGACAGTGGTATTGACTGCGGCAGCGATAATGACCTCGCCTACGGCTCAGTCATTGACACTGTCTTAGTCAATACCACTGTCCTGTGGGCAGTCCATATATCACGATAATGACCAGTTTTCCAATAACTATTATGTAAATAATATATATGTATAAGAAGAAATTGCAAAAACACGTCATAAAAATCCAATGTCTTACCACGTAGGAAAACTAGATATAAATCCAAGATCATCAAACCTGTCATTTTCTAAATAGGAACATTAAGAAAACATGAGTTCGGTTTTTTTTTTTTATTTTACTTTTTTGCTATATTATTTTGATACCATACTACAATCCTGACTCAGGCTTGCTGTTCGGTGCGAGCCAAGGCTTCGTGTTGAAGGCCGTACTTTGACATATAATGGTTTAATTTTACAAATTGCAAACTGGATGGAGAGTTGTCTCATGATGCTCATTGGCACACATACCACATCTTCTTATATCTATCAGTGTGTAGTTTTTTAACAACGCATCGTTTAATTGTGCTAAATAGTGTAAGACATCACCGGAGAAATAACATACGACTACAAATAAAGAACATTGCATATGATTTATCCTGAATATGAATGTGTCAGTTGTCACGTAAAATGATGCACCATCATTCTATCATTCAATTAATCAGTTAGTTTTGACTCCAAATAATTAAATTTAGGAAATACGACTTTCCAAAATGTCTAACTATAAATTGATTCAAAATAATTACAAATAGCAAACGTTTTGTCAAAAACTGATTATCCCAAGTTCAATTAAACAGTTTTAGCAGTTTACAGGCAACATGATACAAATTAACTTACCTTTTTGACAGTTTGGGTTTTTATATCCGTCTTTGCAAGTACAGTGGTAACCTCCATCGACGTTACGACAGGTTCCGTGGCCACATGGACTTGGTCTACAATCTTGTATATAAATGCAAACAAAATCTAATCGTTCTTTTGAAAATTCTGTCAAGTTATAATGTAGTTTCAAACACTGTATTGCAATAACAAATAAATTTGACAATATGCGTTATTCTATTATAATGTGGAGTTTGTTGTGTTTCTATTTAAAATAAAAATGTGTTTTTTTTTTATTTGAATTGTTAACATAGGAACCCCCAATTAAACCCTGGATGGCTTTTTACATTGGAAACTAGAGAATTTTTTTATATATGAGGTTTACAAATATAATCTTAGACCGTGTATATTTACGCCAAACATTTGTCATTTTAAACTGAAAACATAGATTTTGCAAAATGCTCTACAAATTTTAAAGTCAATTGGGCGGAAAAATGTAACAAAAATCTTTTGAAGTCAATCGTTTTCTTAATGAGATATGAAATTTGTAATTTTCATGAGATTATATTTTTTGATTTCACGTGGATATTAAAAAAATTAATAATAAGTTTGTGTAAAAAATTATTTAATTTATCAACAGTTTGAATAAATTAGAACATTTGCCTTTGCTTGTTTTAGAAAAAACATATTTCAATCTCATTCTAAAAAGCAAATATTTAAATTGCTGACCTTTAGCATTTTTCAATTGGATTTTAAATATTGAAAAATGAAAAATGCTCTAACGTGGAGCATTTTGCATTTTGTCTTTAAATATTGAAAAATGAAAAATGCTCCAACGTGGAGAATTTTTTAATATTGAAAAATAAAAAATGCTCCTACGTGGAGCATTTTTCAATTTGACTTTTAATATTGAAAAATGAAAAATCTCCAATATGGAGCATTTTTCAATTTTGACATAATAAATTGGAAAATGAATAATGCTCTGAGGTAGTTTAATGTAGAGCATTTTTTCATTTTACTTTGCAATATTAAAAATTTGAAAAATGATCCAATCTGCATCATTCTTTTAATTTTTAATAAGTAAAACGGAATGAAATTTGTTTCAATATAGGTGTTTTAAATTTTCAAATTGTCGACACTATTTTAAAATGTTTCATTGTTTCTTTTTTTCTTTTTCCTTGTTTAACGCAAAATATCTTGAAGAATTTGTTAATGATGTATATGTGTGCACTGTGTATGGTATCAGCTAATTCCGAACATGAGTAGTATACTGAAAAGTACGATAATGACCAAAAAAATGTGAATTTTTATTAAGTATTTTACCCGCAGAACACAGGACTGTATACAGTACCTAAACTGTTGTTGAGGTATTGAAAAACTATTCTTAAATTTTCTGTAAGTTTATACTTACAATCGTGTGCTACAATTTGTTAAAAAGAACAATGTACAAGTTCAGTCATGATATATACTATTATGATATATAAAAAAATACTCTCATCTTTGCTATGAATGAAGTAACGATAATTTTGCGCAAAAGCGATAAACATTGAAATTCGTCAATATGTGTTTCTCGTTCCTTACTTTACTTTCTTTAACTTTACTTTCCGTTATATAGATGATGTTCTCTCACTAAATAATTCAAAATGTGGTGACTATGTTGAACGCATCTATCCCATCGAATTAGAGATAAAGGATACAACAGATACAGTTAAGTCTGCCTCATATCTTGACTTACATCTAGAAATTGACAATGAGGGTCGGTTGAACACAAAACTTTACGACAAAAGAGATGATTTCAGCTTCTCAATTGTGAACTTTCCATTTCTATGTAGCAACATTACAGCAGCGCCTGCATACGGAGTATATATTTCCCAATTGATAAGATATTCCCGGGCTTGTATTTCTTATCACGATTTCCTTGATAGAGGGTTGCTCCTCACAAGGAAGCTATTAATCCAAGAGTTCCAAATGGTGAAGTTGAAATCATCCCTTCGTAAATTTTACAAACGCCATCACGAGTTGGTTGACCGTTATGTAATATCGGTTTCACAGATGCTATCAGATATGTTTCTTATGTCGTAACTACAATCCTGTTCCCTTTTCACGAATGTGACCTACCGATTTAGAATACTTACCAGGTGTGTAATAACACGAACAACACGACGGGTGCCACATGTAGAGCATGATCTGTTTACTCTTCCGGAGCACCTGAGATCACCCCTAGTTTTTGGTGGGGTTCGTGCTGCTTAGTCTTTAGTTTTCTATGTTGTGTCTTGTGTACTATTATTTGTCTTTTTCTTTTTAAACAATGGCGTTGTCAATTTATTTTCGATCTTTGAGTTTGACTGTCACTCTGGTATCTTTCGCCCCTCTTTTACGTATGTAACGTTTTCAATGACTTCAGCAAAAAAAAAAACCATACGAATTGTCCTCAAAATCTCAATTAAGACACGTTTTATGTCTTTATTGATATTAAATTTTGTAAGGTAAAAAAAGGAACATGTTTCGACATTTGTAATGGTATTTTAAAAATCAGAGCAAGTTTTGTAGAGTTCCGTTTAGATTCTGTTTATTAGACTTTCAGAAATATGAATATTACGTGTATCACAAAATTTGCCTCCAAATCCGCTAAAACAATGACATTGATATGAGCCTGGTTGGTTTATACATTTCCCGTGTATACAGAGATTGGATTTGCAATCTGAAATGAAGCAGATTTAAATGCATATCAAACATTGTATCAAAGTAAAATACATGATTATTCTATTCAATGGTGTCTTTACATCTAAGTCGACCCGGTGACTGTATATCGACAGTGGACGTTTTCAGATGTCAATATCTATATTCCTTCACATGTCCATAAAAGCATGCATTAACCGATATAACATATAATTACAATTTAATAATGATGAGCTGAAATTCCGAATATACCTCTAAAAAAATAGCTAGCATTTAAAAGGAGTAATTACACATCTCTTTATTTATATATATAAAGTATTAGTAAGGTCAAGTTTATTTTAACTTTGACTGTATCATTTTTATCATATGGCAAAATCACATGTACTTTATTCATATGATTTGCACCACGTGACTTTGGTCCTTTTGATTTTTTTTTAAAATTACTTCCCTTAGTTGAGGTTGAAAATATAAATTATTTCAAATTTGCGGATAATCCAGT